GTCGACTGAAGTAGTCTCGGGGCTTATGGATCCCTGACGACTCTGGTATACTCCAACATATCAGAGGGAAGCTATTAAGGATAAGAAGGAATCTAAATGCTGACTAGGAGATGGGCGGAATGCGAACTGACCGGGGTATTCTGGACATTTTCAGTAAGTCGGCCAGGGTATTTTGGGGACTTCAGGTAAATGTTCTACTTCTATATAAAGGAACTAAGGTATCTCCAAAACACTAACTCCCATTCATTCTATACTCTCCTCCATTACTGTTGCTGCTCTCTCAGAGCAGCTCTCTTCATCTCTTTCACACACTGACTTGAGCGTCGGAGGCTCTACGCCGGAAACCCCTCCGGCGTTGAGTTCTTGCAGGTGTTCTCGCGGTTCAACAGCGGTTCGGAGGCTATCGAGTCAGATCTGAGCTCATTTCCATCGGTTCATTTCAAATCTGAGAGGTTTTCCATCGGTTCACTCCAGATCTGAGAAGAGACCCATCAGATAGGCTTTTTGATTTTTTTCTCTCTTTTCCCTTTTCTCTTTCCCCTCTTCTCTCTCTATTTTTTTTTTCCTCTGTTCGTGACTACTGGCTGCATTAAAGACTTTTATTAAATATATGTTAATGATAATTATTTGGTAAATATATTAGCCTCTGTACGTGAGACTTTTTAAAAAATTCTGTTAATGTTAATTGTTGTATTAAATATATTATCCTTACTTATTTGCATTTGGGCTTATCATTATATTATTATATACCCATATATAGGGTTTTTTTTTTTTCAAGTGTGGGCCTCGGCCCACACTGGTCCTCATTAGCCTACGCCCCTGCTTGGGCCGAAGTCCTATTTGGATGGTCAGCTGTCTCTGGGTGTTGGGCTCGGTGTGTAGCGGTTTGTTTCACTTGCGTTGAGGAGGGTGTTAGTTCATTATATTTGTTTTGTGTTGTGCTTGTGTAGGTGTTTGTGTTCGTTGTTTTTGTTGTAGTTTTCCTATTGTTTCCTTGTTTTAGTTGTGTTTCTTTTGTGGGAGCTGATTCTCCTTTTGCAGTTGTATTCTCCCTCCGAAGTGTTTGCTTTGTTTTTGGTTTTAGTCTTGTGGGTGCGTTAGCGTAATCTCCTTAGGCTCCCGACCGAGGGGGTCTCGTACTAGATTATGTTAGATGGCTGCTTGGCAAATTCTAGTTGTTTTCTAATTGTAATTATGTGTTTTTTTTTTATTCTGTCGTCTTGAAAAAAAAATGGTGCCCAGAAAACAGTCTGCGCCACAATACAAGAGCACAAAATAAACTAAAAAGATACTAAACTAAAAAAAATCGGGAGAGAAGCCCGAGTCAAGGGCATTCTCCTATCAGGGCCCGAAGTCCAAGTCGCAGCAGAAGCAGAAGCCCGTATGCAAGGAGTGATAGGTCTCCAAGCCAGTGAGAGAGACACAAGAACTTGTTATGATTTTGTAATATGTAAACCTCTTGTTTTTTAATCTTATTTTGAGTTAAATGGTTCTGGATTGTGTGAAATTTGGATCGATTTTACCTTTCAGCCCAAGTATGCCAACTTAATTTATGTCTTGACTGCTGCCTTGTGTGCGTACGCTGATATTGACAATAGACAATGATAAATTGAGACCCGAGTATGATTGGATTTATCCATGAATTTTGGATGGTATTGTGTCTGCTCATTATGAGTTGCTCTCCCAATGAGATGAAACGAGGTACTTCAGAATATGTAACGTAAAGAAAATTTGAGTATTATGGCAAAATTTATACAACAAAGTCATTTTATGTTGTGTTTGTTTTTACTGTTACTATTAAAAGCAATACCAGTTGAGATATGTTGCACCCAATGAGTTGAGCAGCCAGAATGTACTATTAAAAAAAATCTCAACATCCAGTTTGCTGGTGATTGGCATGCATTTTTTTATAAAGATTGTATTGCCAAATGAGAACCCAAAACAACAAGTTCCAAAATGTCACAGCCCTTGAAAGTGACTTCACTCGAATTCTTCCTAAAAACACAACTTATACGGGTACTCTCTTCCCCCGATAACGATCGAACAACTGCAAAGAAACACATTGAAGTGTTAGAGATAACACACCTTGACGGGATATTACATGAATGTTCGTAGAGATTAAATAATCTATGAGTAACATCTGATTCAAAAATATAAACTACACATCTATGAGTAACACAACACAGTGGACTCCCCAGTCAAGCTTTGGATGCAAATCAATACTTTGAACTAATTATAAGTTCCCGACTTTTTAAGATACTCTGCCAAAATGACATTAAATTTCAAAGAAAATTTACAGCAGTTCTGGAGTCAAAAATTTAGTATAATAATAAAGTACTTGGCCACAACCCTGCCAGCACCTCGTAAATGCGGAAAGCAAACATTGCTAATACAATGTGTTTCTGCTTAGTCGTCATTCAGCAGAAGTCATCAGGCCTTGCAGGAGCCTTTATCTTCTAGCCGTTCCTTATATTTATTCATTTTTATTCTAGACTGATTATGGTGGTACTCAATTGAACAACAGCTAGTTGGCTCAAGCAAGACATCCAACATACAAACACACAAATGTCGCAACATTCTTGTTTTTTTCAAATTCCTGCCAAAAATTTGAGAAATGAAACTGAAAGAAACGTGTAACTGCTTGGCACTACAGCCATGTCCTGCATTGTAACTACATGCAAATTGTTTAAAAAACATATGTATAGCAAAAAGGGCCTACTTAAACCAGATTAATGCATGAAATTACAGCCAGCAGTAACTTCTATAACAAAATCAGTCAAAACAGCCGATTGACATTGGATATGATGCATGGATTACATCCAGCAATAACTTCTGAAATTATTACTCAGACAAGGCAAATAGATTTGGCTATGAATTATGAAATGACAAACAGCATTAACTTCTGGGATGAATTTTACTTGAACAAATTAAAGGCTTCTACGTGGCAATTCAAGGTTCTATCTATATAATAATTCCAGTCAAAACTTCCAGAGGTGGCAACTCAAGGTTCTATATAGATTAACAATTAGTGTTAATTTATTTTGTTGATTATTAATCCATCCATCAATCAATTAAATTAAATATTGAACTCAAAACCCATGCCAATGAAACCAAGTAGAGGCACACATAGAAATCTCACATAGAAAATAGAATAGAATATATCATAATGCGGTAAATATCATTGTTGCATACATTGCAAGTGATAAAATGAGACGTCAATGCAAACATACCGATCGGACAAAAGGTTGCTGGAAGAGCCAACCAATAATAGGAATCTTCTGGAGGAAGACAGCCAGTGTCGGCCAGAAGCCACTGTAATTTTAAACGATATAATAAATTTCTCTACCAAAATATAAATATGCAAAGTAAAATAAAGTCGAGCCAATAAAGATGGCACACACCTGAACAACACTACGAATCCGTAAGCCTCAACAATCATTCCTATTATGGGCCACCCGATGATGACTAAGAAAAAGCCAACACCAAATGATACAGTCCCCTGCATTGATATATGAAAAACATTAAAAAAAACTGCACCGCGACAAAAAACATCGAAAATAGAGCAAATCAAGAGGAATATCATAAGTGCGAGAAACCTTAAAATTCGAGCGTTTCATAAAGAACTGCATGGATGACTTAAGGCCAATGGTTAATATCACCCCTGCCAAGAAGAGTATCTGCTTTGAATAAAATGAGACAATATTAGGAAGATGAGCAATGTGAAGTATTCAATACGAAACATCTGATTGACTGCTTTAATAATATACATACGTTTCCCATTGCCAGCAGTCCCTTATCGAAGAACAAGATGACCCCCAAAATTGAAAAGAAAACTCCAAACCCCGTCAAACCAAGTCCAATTTCTGTTACAACAACCAGAAAGAAATAATTTGATCAAGAATGATAATCTCTTTATATGTAAGAAAAACTATTTCAACTTATCATACTGCAATTAGAGTGTAAAAGTTACAATGGAGATTGATACAAAATGTAAATTCCACCACACATAAGCTGCCAAAATATCCATAGATAACTCAGATTTCATCATTAAGAATAACCTGAGAAATATAATCACACCTATGAGCTTGTGCAACAGCATAAGCAACTTATTACAGAGACTCCACTTCAAATTTTTCATGCACAATTTGTCAAAAGCAAGAAAATAAAGTATATATAATCAGCTGAATAAATTTGGGCATCATAATTGGGGTAGCTTACTTTTTCGATCGTTCATCTCGAAGGACACCATTTTTGTCGATTTCAGGTTCAACAAACTGCTACGTTTTCTCAGGTAGGCTCAAACTGCAGCCCTACACCCAGCAAATAATCACACAAGTCAGAAATACACACAAAAACATAAGATCGAGATAGATAAAGGGTGAACCACTCATTTTCGCCAAAATAACTGTAACGACTCATTGTTTTTAAAGGCATATATTATTCTATTTATTTTTTACTCCCGCTAACAAGACAGAATCCCGAGTTCTTCAAAAATCAGAATTAATTTTTTCAAAAATCATTTAACAGGCGCTACTCAACCAAGCATTTATAATCACACAGCTCAAGTTACAACTTAAGCCTTGGGGAAAAATCCATCCCAAGTTCGCTCTGTCAACGAGACATAATATCACATACTCATTAATAAGGCTCGAAACATAATCATAACTATTCAAGTTCATCATCAAATCCAAGTTCCTATACCAGTCGTACAAGTTTTTGGCAAAACAATAACAATTATAAGCGGAAGCAAGTAACAGTTCATAATAACCATAATAATGGGGGTGAGCTAACAATAAGCTAATCGTGGGAATACTATGCAATATATTTCTAATAATGATTGGCAATATAATCTCAGCATGAATACAAATCACCACACCTATCTCCTACCTCGCCTTGAGCATATACACACTCTTGCACGGGATCTAATCCGGCATGCCCTACACTCGTATGTACACACTCTTGCATAAAACTCACTCTGACTTCTCCCTTTGCTCATATGCACAAACTATTGCACGGGAGGTCAATTATATAGATATGTGGTTCACACACATACATTGATTATGTAATCACACGATTGTAAGAAATAACAGCATAGTAAGGTTTATCAACACCCGCCTTAACTGCTGATCACGATAGAAGAAAATGCACGTGAATTTGTGTGAGGGCTCGACTCCTCTTAATCTACAAATTAGGGATTTATTTATTAATAAAAGTTGTGATTAACAGCAAAATGCACGACAATTAATATAAGTAAGCACACAAAAAAAAGGTAAATAAATCGGATAAACGCACAAGCAAACTTTAACTCATGGTACACTGAACTGTTCACCTCTCAATACAATACATAGGATGTATATCACCAACTACATTCTTATTATGCGACTACAAAGAGTTATCAAACAACCTAAGCATGGTAGATGAATAGTATATAACCTACACATCCACAATGTAAACAGGCTGCAATTGAAGACATAACATTAAAATAACTATAGCAAGAACAGTAGGAAATCTTAAAAACTGTGAGGCCCCATGAGGAAACAAGTAAATTTTACATAATTGGTTGTTGTAATCATGGTTCTCAAAACCGGACCGGACCGGCCAGTTCGACCGGCAACCGGCCATCTAACCGGTTCGGTTTGAGGCATTAAACCGTTGGGATAAAAAACCGGTTAAAAACCGTTTGGACTGTCCAAAACCGGGTTAATCCGTCAAACCGGAAGCAGTTCCAGCGACCCAGCGGTTTTGCACATTGCTTTCTTCTCACTTCATTATATACACTTCATCGCTTTCATTCTTTCCCGATGTGGGACTTTGTACAGTGATATACTCTCCACTTTTCCCCTTTTTTCTTGTGGCATGGGAGGCCCAATGATTAAATTTGGGCCAAACCTAAATTGAGCAATATTTTTTTTTTCTTTAATTTAATATATGTATGCTAACTTTTTTAAAGTTCAAACAAAAAGCCCATTAAAAAAAATTAAACACATATTATATTATTATAAATTTACAATTTAAAAAATAAATACAAACCTTACATAATAAGTTTAACACTTTAGTGTTTAACCTTACAACTATATATTATACATATAAATTTATGGATAAAAAATCAATATAATTAATTTGTATATAGTGGAATGCCATTATACACTATAAAACTAATTATAAAAATATATGTAGTTAAATAATATACATATAAAATAAGTAAAATATTATATATTAATTAAACCAGTTCGACCACTGGTCCGACCAGTGGTTCACTGAACCAGTAGCTCCACCGGTTCGATGATCGGATCGGTTTTTGAGAACCATGGTTGTAATCATAATAAAGATGAAAAAAAAAACAAACAATTCATATCTAGAGATCAGCTATTTTGAGGTAAATAATGGCACAGGCACATACATCATAACTATGACCAAAGCAAGTGAAGAACTCATGAGCAAAATGGCACTTCTGAAACTACTTTTACTACAGTAATCTATTAATAAGAGCTAATAGCAGTAACCATTAAACACTGAAATAATTAAGTACATCATGAATCACATAGCAGCTTGTTATGATATCAATAATTGAGACTAAGTTCTTAGATATGAAATGCGTAGTGAAATCACCCACATAACAACAGAATGTAAAATTCGTGAAAAGGCCAAGTAAAATGCACGGCATCAACAGCACAAAATCCCCTATTAGCTTCCCTTTTTCTCTTTCTTTTTATCATAAATCATAAAACACTTTTTAAGGCCTCAAGACTGAAAATTCACCTCTGAAGCTAATGCACAGTAACAGCATGAAATTCACAAAAGGCCACAGCATAAAAACAAAGTGAGGCCAAGAACATCACACAACATGCATCATTTCACCTTTCTTTCTCCTTCTCTTTTTCTCCAAACTCAAAGCACTTAAAAGGCACATAAGAATTGAACTTCAATGCCACCGTAACACACAATTTAAGCATACAAAACGCATGTATAAGCCACAGCAATTAAGTCAAAATAATGGCACAAAAACATCACAAGAAACCATCTCATTTCTTCTTCATTTACAACTACGTTAAGCATGCCCTTTTCAACTCATTCTTGCAGCACATTAAACGCAGGAAAGTTCAGTACGTTCAAGGCAAAACAAATACCACCTAAAACAAGTTTCTTATGCTTCAAATTTCGACAACTCAAGCATGCTTTTAGAACCACCTATTAACTGAAAATAAAGCTCATAAAATCAAGCAAATCTCTGCCAAATAGAATGCTAAAGCTCAGCCAAAATACCTTTCCCGGGTATGAAATTTGGCAAGGTAAACCGGGCTAAGAAGAGGTCTCGGCTTTCTTGCTGCTGCGCGGCACTCGACTAGGCTCGCGGCTGCTGTCCGCGGTGGCTTGGACAACGGCGACTGAGGGTGTATGCTCGAACGCCGGCGAGGCTGCTCGTGGAGGTCGCAGGCCTCGTGTGCTTGATGGCGAGGCTTTGTTTTGGGCCCTTGCTAACCTGCGCGACAGCTGGGCTGCGGCAGATCGGAGGCTGGCGTGCGAATCTCGGCTCTCGCGTACGATCTGGGTGGTCGCTCGCCTTGGTTCTTCTCAAACCGGACGGACCTCGCGGACGGTGGTTAGCACGCAGCGGATGGCTTGGTCTGATGTACTCGCAACTCACGGTTGCGTGGCCGTCTCCGGTGGATGGGCTCCCGCAATGGCACTGTGGTACTGCCTCCCGGCGCGGAGTTCGCGGTGGTCGAGGTGGCTGTCGGGCGTCGCTATTCCGGCCTGCTGGTGCTCGCTACTCACGAGCAGGTGCTGTTAGCGGCGGACTCGGAGCACAGTTGTGGGTTGTGGCTGGGCGACGCTGGCGAGTTCAGATGCTGCAATTTACGCCGGCAGGGAGAGTAGATCGGAGGAGAATTTTTTGAGGGTTTGCTCTCGAGAGATGAGGGTCGAGAGAGTATGAATTTCCGATCTGAAATTTTGTGTGAGAGACGCTTTTCGTGAAAAAGAAAAAATGAAGGGGATATTAGGAATAATTGGCTTGACTAAGGACAGACATGTCAAAACAGCTAACGGGGCGGGCCCGAAAAAAAACCCGTTGTTTGGCGGGGCGGGCCGCCATATTGGGCCTTCAAATTGCCAACCCGGCCTAACCCGTCATAGACCGCGGGCTAGGCAGGTTGGCCCGTCATATTTAAAAAAAAATGAAAGCTCAATTTCATAGAGAAAATTACTCCCCTTACTCCTCCTCTGCTAAATATTATTAAATCTACGAAATTTGTAACTTAAATTCAAAGTTACGAAATTTTTATAAAATAAAGCAAGTGTGATATATACATGAAAGTTATTCTCTTTCATAATGGCAGGAATCGTCTCTTTCTCTCTTTCACCCTCTTCCTTTGTTAATCTCTCTCTGTCTCACCCTTATCTCTTTCTTTTTTTTTTTGTTCTTTAATTTCTCTCTCGCACCCTCATCTCTTTCTTCTTGTTTTGTTCTTTCTCTTCTTGAAACTGCAAATCTGAGAGTTTTCATCGTCCCTTGAAATCGCCCAAAATCCCAGATCTTAAATCGCCGAATACTCTAGGCCTCTCATCAAATCGAGGGCCGTATATATTTCTTAGCCGGTGATATCCACGAGCAGTAGCGGCAATTTCTTTTCCTTTTCGTGATTTGCAGTAGCCGCTCGACACCACCATCCGCACGAGATTAATTCGAGCAGCATAGTCGCCATCTTCTCCGCCATGAGTAGCAAGAGGTTCGAGTTTCAGATTCCTCGAATAGCCGTGAGTGACCCATCGCCAGCGCCGAGAAGCTATGGAGGTCGGGCCCATTCACTCGGCCCGAATCCTCACCACCTTCACCTCCTCCATCTCAGCCCCTCGACCCTCGAACAACAGCGGCCTCCTCGATCAGCGACCTCCCGTCGGTTTCTGTTCACAGCCCTTGCTCGCGAAGTAGAGAGCAGCCGACGACCTTCTTACAGCATCAGCCCTCGTCGGTCCCTTCAGAGGGAAGGGCAACGGCCTCTTCCCTTTTCCCGATGGGTCTCGCCATCAACTTCGAGCAACTATTTCCCGACAGATTCGTTTCCGAGCAGCAACAACACCGTGCCGCCGTTTTATTTTCAGCGAACATCAGCTGTTCCCAGGCCCGTGCGGGAAGAGTAGCGATCATTTTGTTGGGCGAGTTTGCCGAGAGCTATATTCAAGAGTAGGAGTTTTATCGAGCTTTGCCAGTCATTCAGAATTGTGTATTATGTATAATCTCGTTTCAGA